CTCCCTCCTCCCCCGCGCAGCGGCGCGCGCACCCTGCTCGCAGGGCCTGCACTGGGACACCACTTTGTGGTGAAACCCCTTGCCTCCTCGCTGCCTGGGTTGGTCCACCGCCCGGTAACTGGGGAGACCAGCTTCCTACTGGAGTCTAGGACCTTTGTCATTGCCTAAGAAACTAACACAGTTTTTTATTTTATTACTATTACGATTACTATTTTTTTTTAGTCTAGCTTCTTAAAATCAGAGGAGAAAGAGGAAATCAAATCTATGGCGTGGGCTTGCTTAGTCAGAGCAGCCCAAGGAGGCCCTTCCGGACGCGGCACAGGATATCCGCGGATCCGAATGAATGTTTGTTCAGATGAGAGTTCAAGAAAAGCTAATTTAGGTGTGAAGTCAACAAGTTTGTGTAAAGCGGTGTTTGAGGGCAAAGGTCGTGTCTACTGGATGTGATCGTCTAGAAGTAAAGTGAAACCGTGGTTCACTGTGACCCTGCTATGGACGACATAATAACCAGAGGCATTCAAAGCGCTGTTCTCCCTTGAAGGACCCCTCGTGGTGTGGTACTGAAGCTCTGGCACTCTGCGGGGAAAGAGAGGTAGCAGCCTGTTTCCGTAGAGATTACAGGTTTAGAAACTTCGGGGAGCAGTTCTACTCTGACCTACAGGGCTGGGTAGAACGGCAAACAATAGGTACACTGGCAGGCAATGGCTTTTTGATTTCTTGCCTTTCACTGCAGGAGTGCACTTAGACCTCATAAGGAAGACTCATATGCTAAAAACATTATTATTTTTTATTTTTTAATAAATCGTTTTACTGGGGGTTATAACAATCTTATAACAATCCATACAGCCATTGTGTCAAGCACATTTGTACATCTGTTGCCATCATCCTTTTCAAAACACTTTCTTGGTATCAGCTCCTCATGGGAGAGGAGTAAAGGGAATGCCACACCCCAGAGGAGACTGGGAGAGAAATATTCCAGAGGATGGAAATGGAGGTGGACACAGTTGAAGGTCTGGCTCCTGGAGTATGGAGGATGGAAAATAAAAAAATAAGCAGGTCAGGTGTCAGGGCAAAGAATTTTGCAGGCTGCAATTACAAAAGCCCGCGGCCAGGTGACAAAAAGAATACAGGGTGAAGAGAGAATGAGCACTGGCACAATGTTCCTTCCTGTTCCAGATGCACAGCGCACCTTCCAAGACAAGTTGACGGGTCTCGTGCAATTGTGGGGCCTGGTCATTCTCAAATCGGCACGTCAGGCAGTGCATGGCACTTCACTCTTGTTGCTGGATGCTGGGGAGTCAGTTCTGACTCACAGCGACCCTATGTGCAACAGAGCGGAACACTATCTGGTTCTGAGCCATGGTCACAATTGTTCTTGTTTTAGCCGGTTGCTGTCCTCACTGTCAATCCATCTTGTGAGGGCCTGCCTCTTTTCCACTACCCCTCTACTTTACCAAGCATGTGCCCTTTTTTGTTCTTTACTCGTGTATATGGATTGATTATGTAGCTAATAAAGATAGCATCTATATAAATATGAATCAGGAGACTTGAAAAATTTAATAAAAATGGAATTGAAATATAATGAAATTGAACTTTTGGAAGGTCTCGTGTGAGACTGCGTGCATACCCATGCACCTTAGCTCATTGATTTTATTCTTTACAAACTAAGATGATTAGTCAACATAGGGGGACTTATTAAAGAAGTAAATGTAGAAAAGATAGTAAGAGCCAGTTTTTATACTATGGAAGTTGCAAGGTCATGTCTATGCAATCACCTGTGTGCATATTAAAGTTGACTCATGAAAAAAGAAGATAAAGAATTGATTTATTTGAACATGGTGTTGACAAAATTGACTATACTGGACTTCCTAAATAATGAACAAATTAGTCTAAAAGAAAAATGACCAAAATGCTACCTAGATGCAAGAATGATGAGACTCCAACTAACTTCCTTTGGATATTAAGAAAGACAAATTGCTAGAAAAGGAAATATGCTTGGTTAAGCTGAGGGCCAATAAAATTAAAAGAAACCCTCAATGAGGTGGACTGATACCATATGTGGTAGTTATATAATGGTTTGTCAATTTGAGGATTAAGCATGAAGGGGTGGAGTCTAGACTGTCAATCAGGTGAGAGCCAATGAAGTCGCTGTGTGGACATGGCCTTCTCCGGAAGATTCTGGGAACTCCTGTATTCCTCCTTGGAAGCAGGAGATACTTGCTCTTTCTCACTCCCTTGAAGACTGTACTGACAAGGCTGACTCCGTGCAAGACATCCCTGTGGAGAAGACACATGCAGAGAGGCTAATGGAACCAGACCTCTGGAGCCAGAGAAGCCATGTGGAGATCCTGGCCAGTGCTGAGATGCTTATAATGCCACTGAATCCACAAGACTTCCCACCCACTGGCCTGTGATCTTCCTGAATTCATCATCATTGCATGTGTTTCGTGAATCTGAAGAGGACCTTATGGATTGGTATTGGAAATATGGGCTAATATTGGATTTATGGACTTGATCTGGACTGGGTAGGGATAGTTTCTCAATATTCAACTGCTCTTATATATAAAGATCTTTCTTATACACATATGAGTGTCTATGAATTTGTTTCTCTAGTCTACCCAGACTAATACACCATAGTCATAACAATGGTGTCAAACATGCCAATGATCATTAAAATGGAACAAGACCTGGTAATGTTTTATTCTGTTATGCATAATATTACCATGTGTGAGCGACAATTTTACAGCAAGTAATAACAAAGAATGGCCCTTAGGATGTTGAGTTGGAATTGTAGATATCAATGTAAATGCAGGGTTCTCGGGATAGGTAAATAGATAGATAAGGCGACAGATGTCAGATAACTATGAGAGACAGGAAAGATAGAAATGTACGCAGTTCTAAATAGCATTGTCTGCAGTAGCACTCAATAATAAAGAGAATACCAAAGCAAGGATATTCACAGGGAAAGTGGGCAAAACAACCTATGTGTGGGGAGAGGAGAGCATCAGGTCAGCAATTTACTTTCAAACGCTTTGGGGGAGGAAACCATCTTTGTACTTTGTATTTGTAACGTTTCTCTAAATTTGTAATTAATTTTGGTTTTAATCTGGATACTAATAAGGAAAGAAGAAAGTCCCTGTAGAAAATTACATAAAATCGAAACTAAAATTTTGCTTAAATACCAAATTGATAGTTTTCAGTAAAAATTTAATTTTCCTTTCAACATGTGTTCTTTCAACACACATTTGCGCTACAGTCCATGATGTATGAGAATAAGCATGGACATATTTCTCTTATTTCATAATACTGTTGTTACAGGAAAGAGAGTTGATGTAGTTGGAATGTGTAGATTTTAAAAGCGGAGAGGGAGAAAGATAAGAGCACCTCTTTCAACCAGACACACTGAGCACATAACTCATGGAGCATGGTTGCACTGGAAGGATTAGGGGGAGTTTGACAGAAGAATAAAAAGGTGAAGCTCAGTTCAGGATGAATAAATACAACCTAAAGAGCTCCTGAAGGCCTGAGAATGCCAGGAGAATTGCCGGAGACTCCGCACAGCTGGCTGGAAAATCCGGAAACGAAGACAGGATCTAAAGGAACATTCTTAACGTTCCACCAGATCAAAGAGATCTTCATTGTTTGTATTCCAAAAACATTTCCAAATCATTACAGGAAAATGACCTTTTTTTTTAATCTCCTTTTTACTTCTCTTGTAGGTAACAAATAATATTCACTAGTATTACTTATACCATACATAAACGTCTCAAGAGCATATGAAGAAAAGGGGCACAAGCAAGAAGCTACTATATACATACATTCCTGAGGTGAGGTCCAGGTAGTATGGCAGGGCCAGGCCAAAACCAGGGATACATATGGTAACCAACTAAAAAGGAGGGGAAAAAGAGAAAGAAAGAAAAAAAAACATGGGTAGCAG